GTAAAGTCGGCGCATTTTTATAAAAAATTTTAATGGGTGATTTTTATACCAGTTACTCGTAGAGTAAAAGGGTATATTGTATTCGTGCAAAAGTATGTAACAGCTAGAAGGAAGCGTTTCCGACCCCATAAAGCATATATATTCTTGATCAGGGTCACTAGCCGAGTCGATACAGCCATGTCCGTCTGTCTGTCTGTATGAACGCTGAGATCTCGGAAACTATAAAAGCTAGAAGATTGACATTTTGCATGCAGATTCTTGATTTTTGATTTTTGATGCATAACTGAAAAATCGGAGCTAATTTACAAAAATATTTTTTAAAAGTAAACGGTAGGAGATATAAAAAAAAACAAGAAAGAAAGCTAGCTTCGGCCAGCCGAAGCTTATATACCCTTGCAGATCATTCCTATTAATTAACAAATCGCAAAAATGTTAAATTTTCTAATATTTCTCATTAATTTTCCGATCGTTCCTATGGCAGCTATATGAAATTCGGAAATATTTAAAAAGAGTCATATCCTAGAGTAGAAGATAATACAATAAAAACCAAAGAAGCTAGAATTTGTTTCCTATTACTTTTCCATTAATTTTCCGATCGTTCCTATGGCAGCTATATGATATAGTCGTCCGATTTTGATTAAATTAAAATTGAAATTCGGAAATATTTAAAAAGAGTCATATCCTAGAGTAGAAGATAATACAATAAAAACCAAAAAAGCTAGAATTTATTTCCTATTACTTTTCCATTAATTTTCCGATCGTTCCTATGGCAGCTATATGATATAGTAGTCCGATTTTTTAAATAATTAATTCGAAATTCAGAAATATTTAAAAGCATCCCCAAAAAAGCATTACCCCACAAAAAAATTTGCTTGGTAAAATTGACCAACAAAGATAGTTACGTAACTATTAAAATAGCTACGTGTATTTTGTTTTTGCTTTGGGTTTGTGTTTTTGCTAATTGTGTGTATTTTGTTGTTGTTAAATGAGAATTTACTTAGTAGAATTGACAATTTTGCTGGTTGGGGCCTGTTTGACAATTATTACAGTTGATTTTACCAAGTTTTTTTTTTTGTGTGTAGAGGTAAAATTAGCCCATATAATAATAAAACAGTCTCAAGCCACAGAATTAAAAAATTTTACCAATCGAATAATAACTGTTACGAAATACGTAAACGTAGTACGTAGTAAAAAAAATAGTTGAACAACTGGAGAAAATGGGATTAACCATGAATAACAATAACCATAACAACCAAGTTAACATACTATTTTTATGGTAAAAATATAAAAAAATGTTAAAATTTTAAATTTAAAATTCATAGTTACGTAACTGCATAATACAAATTTATAAAAGTAATATTAAGAAGGTAATAATCCAATTACCTTTTCCAAAAGTAACTTTATCATACGCCTTTTAAAGGTGCTGGTTGCACTTGATTTCCAGCTAGTGTGCAAGAGTGTTAAAGACTTTAAGTACTTAGTTTTAAATTAAAGTCTTAACTACTCAGAATCTGACTTGGGGGTCTTGGTGCACGGAGGGCTAGACCCAGTTGGGAATTATAAACAAGGCATTGCATAACATTTGTAAAATTACTGTTCCATAATTTTGTATTAATTATTTTTCATAGTAAAACGACTATTTAAAAGAGTATTAAAATACGTTAGCGTAACTTTTTCCATAGTAGTTTAACTATTTAATAGTACACGAAGCAAAAGCAAGAAAGGAAGCTAGCTTCGGCAAGCCGAAGCTTATATACCCTTGCAGATCATTCCTATTAATTTACAAATTGCAAAAATGCTAAATTTCCTATTATTTCACATTAATTTTTTTATCGTTCCTATAACAGCTATATAATATATTAGTTCGATCTTTTTCGAAGTTCGAAAATATTAAAAAATAGTCATATCCCAGAGTAGAAGAGAATGTAATAAAAATTAACAGAAATATAATTTTTTTTTATTAATTTCCATTTAATTTTTAGACCGTTCCTATGGCAGCTATATGATATAGTGATCCGATTTTTTACTTATTTAGTTTGAAATTCAGAATTATATAAAAAATAATATTTCCAAGAGTAGAAGGTAATATTTGAAAAAACACCGAAGCTAGAATTTTTTAACGCTTCCTTCTTATGGGAGCTATAAGATATAGTTGTCCGATCCGGTCGGTTCCGACATATATACTATATATACTATCAAATAAAAACACCTCTTAACGAGGTAACGAGGACGGAAGCTAACTTCGGCAAGCCGAAGTTTTAATACCCTTGCAGATTTTACGAATTAAAACTTGACTAGACTAGCAACATGCATTAATAAACAACAAAATATTTTATAATTGAAAAAATAAAATTTTAAAATTTTTCACCCTATTGTTCCTATGGGAGCTATAGGATATAGACGCCCGATCGGCACGCGCGTTTACCCTAATGAAGGTACGCACAAAAAAATACGATTTGAAAAGTTTCATGGGAATAGCTAATATTTTGCGCGAAATATCCTGAAAAACGTCAAATTTTGACCGATTTCACCCTATTGTTCCTATGGGAGCTATAAGATATAGACGTCCGATCGGCACGCGCTTTTACCCTGATCAAGGTACGCACAAAAAATACGATTTGGAAAGATTCATGCCAATAGCTCTTACACTGAGCGAAATATCTTCATTTTTGTGAAAGCTATATCCGATTGTTCCTATGGGAGCTATAGGATATAGACGTCCGATCGGGTCGGCTTTCAAACTTGATCTGCGTACACATGTTTTAGGACGACTGTGAAAGTTTCAAGGCGCTAGCTTTTAAACTGAGCTCGCAAACGGTATTGAAACAGACGGACAGACGGACATGGCTATATCGACTCCCCTATTGATCCTGATCAAGAATATATATACTTTATGGGGTCGGAAACGTCTCCTTCACTGCGTTACAAACTTCTGACCAAAATTATAATACCCTCTGCAAGGGTATAAAAAACTAGTGACGATCGCACCTTCAACATACAAAAGTTCTGATATCAACATTTGTGTTCAATTTGTCAGTTTGTCCAAAACATGTTTCTTAAGTTTTGAAAATTTAATATGACGTTCATCACATCGATATAAAAAACTTTTGTTCTACCACTTTTGGAAAAACTCGCTAGTTTAGCGGGAAAACAGCTATAAATAGCTAAAATTCGGAAAATCGTAACTTCTATACTACTAAAGCTACAGACTTGTGCTGCATCTTGTTTGAAAGGTATTTTTAAATGCTATAAACGCCTTCTATATGCAATTTGTGTAAATGTAATAATTAAAAAGATATGAACAAAAGATAATTTTTTAAAACTTTTTTTTTTTGCTTTTTTTTTATTTTTTTCAAAAAAGGCTCTAACGATTTTCTCGAAAACTTTAAACAGTATAGCCCTTGAGATTCCTTAAATTTTGGTATACAACACATTACTGTAAAAAGTCATGTTTAAAAGTTATTTTTATACGAAAATAGCCACTTTTGCCAGCTCGAACAACTAAAGCTTCCTGAGTATTGAATTTTGTGTGAGGGTATCCGAACTGTATTTTAGGGTCATGGAATCAGTAAATTTGCACTTAAGAGTTGCATATAGGAATCTTTTGTTCTGAGACTTTTGGAAAAAGCCGCTACTTTAGCGGGAAAAAGCTAAAAATGGCTAAATTTCGTTAGTTTGTAAGTTCAACACTACTAAAGGTACAGACATGTGCCATACCTCGTTTAAAAGGTATTTTGAAATACTTAAACGCCTTTTTAACTTAATTTGTTTAAATACAATGGCTTATAAATTATGATTGACCAATTTAAATTTAAATGTATGTATATATTAGCTCCTATGAGAGCAAATGTAAACAAACAAAAACTTCTGATATCAAATAAAAACACCTCTTAACGAGGTAAAAAACTAGTGACGATCGCACCTTCAACATACAAAAGTTCTGATATCAACATTTGTGACGAAAAATTATTACACTCGTCATTAAATAGACTTTCTAATATTTTCTCATTCGGCACGCTGCAATAGAAAATGCCTGTGAAGGGAAAAATGCTGGAATAGTCTGCTAGGGCGGGCCGAATGAGAAAATATTAGAAAGTCTATTTAATGACGAGTGTAATAATTTTTCGTCACAAATGTTGATATCAGAACTTTTGTATGTTGAAGGTGCGATCGTCACTAGTTTTTTACCTCGTTAAGAGGTGTTTTTATTTGATATAATAGTAGTCGCCTTCGCACACTCTCCTGGTGCGCTTCGTCACTACATGGACTGCCGTCCATAGTGATAATGCAATAGAAAGAAGACTTTTGGGAAAGTTTCATCCCGATAGCTCAAAAAACTGAGAGACTAGTTTGCGTAGAAACAGACAGACGGACATGGCTAGATCGACTCGTCTAGTGATGCTGATCAAGAATATATATACTTTATGGGGAAACGTCTTCTTCATTGCGTTGCAAACTTCTGACTAAAATCATAATACCCTCTGCAAGGGTACAACAAACAAAAGGATACAAATTTTTATTGGAAAGGGCTAGTACTCAACCCAACAAAATATCGTCCAAAACAAAGAACTTCATATGAAATAAAATTTCTTGACGTTTTTTCATTTGAAGTTTTTGGTTTTTGACGACTTTTTGTTGCACACAAAAAAATTTGCTTGGTAAAATTAACCAACAAAGATAGTTACGTAGCTATTAAAATAGTTACGTGTATTTTGTTTTTGCTTTGGGTGTGTGTCTTTGCTAATTGTGTGTATTTTGTTGTTGTGGAATAACTATTTACTTAGTAGAATTGACAATTTTGCTGGTTGGTGCCTGTTTGACAATTATTACAGTTGATTTTACCAAGCTTTTTTTTTTTGTGTGGGTTGAGTACTAGCCTTAAAGTACCATTTTTATAACTACTAAACTATCTGCATTGGTCACTGTTACCAATCTAATTTTTTTTGTGTAAACATATCAGCCCTTAATTTCGTTCAGCTATTAATTAATTACTTTTGCAGCGCAAAGGACACTTGAACGAGCGGGCCTTCAGCTACTCTATACGCCAGGAGCATCGTAGCCGCAGCCACGGATCGTTGGCAAGCTTGCAGTTTAATCCGCCGGACATAAAAAAGGAACGTGAGATCGCCCAAATGGTGGCAGGACTAGACCTCAATGATGGCGAACGACCAATGGGCCCAAATACACTTCAGCGCAAGCAGGCCATGACAATGCCAAATGGTGGGGGGCAGGGTCCAGTGCCTGGACAGCATCCTCACGCTCACACTCCGCATCCACATGCCATCTACGGCCCACTAGGACCAGCCAGCAGCTTCGGAAAGCCGCGAAGATAAGAGTTAATGGGTCTACAACATAACTTCTGGGTTTGTCTGCAAAACAGTAGTTTTGCAGTAGATAGATACACACAACGTTTAGCGATGCTGGTCAAATTAAAAAAAGGAGCAGTCCAGAACGGGGAATTGAGCCCGACTGAAAGCTCTCTAACTATCCATGTTGTACGCCAGATTAAAAAGTCGTGGCTGAACAGTTTAGCGGCGCTCTGGGAGAGGAGCCCCATACTGAAATCCACTCTACATAAATGAATATGTGTGCCTTATTAGGTTTATACTAAAAGTATGTGCGCTCGCTAGTAACCATGAATCAACGAGATACCATATATTAACAATTATAAAACGTAGTGTAGAATATTATATTACGATCACAATGTTCTAGAAACGCTAATTCGACGCATCCGATAACCCCGAGATCTACCCCTTATTCGTAAATTACCTGTATGCTATTAAATATGTACAATAAATACCTTTAATAACAGAGTACGATCCTATCCTGAACCAAATGATTTCGCCCTTCAAAGGCCAGCTCACAAAGCCTATTAGCATGCTGGTTCTCTACACACGTCACTCTTGGTCGATTGATTGACACGAGGCCTATCCCACAGAAAGGCCCAGAGGAGTGCTGGACTAACTCAGCCTTGCCAAGATTCAAACAATTGTTTACGTGTGCTTCGGATTTAAAATTTATGTACATTCTATATACTTATACCCGCGGATTTCGCTGCGAATGCAACCATGTAGCTTTTGGAATCGATTCGCATACCAATGAGCAGCCAGTTGAATGTGGCTGCTTTGTGTGACTTTCTTGTCAGGGGAATATGGATAAAAACACGTTTTTGGTGCTTACGCTCTTACTGATCTTCCCTTTAAGGGCTGGTATTACAGCTAGCAAAAATTCGTCCAAAACAAAAAACTTCATATGAAAAAAATTTCTTGACGTTCTGGGTATTCCCTTAACTGTTGAATTGTTGTTGTGAATTGTTGAATTTTGGTCAGCTGTTAATCAGATGTTCCATACAAAGTCAACTTTCAGAAATATAGGCAATTCAACAGCCTCGAGTCTGTTGAAAATTTTGTTAAATCGTTGAAAACCAGAGTTCTCATTTTTTATTAAAAGTAATGGCAATTCTGTAACATTTTAGTAACAATTGTAACCTGGTAACAATTCTAGATTGTAACTATCAATAATAAATCAAATTGTACATGTTTAAAGTTCCTTGAAACTTTTTAACAAATAACAGCTGTTCGAAAATGCTACAGGAACCATTTTGTGTCGTTCCCTTAAGTGCGGAAATTTTTTGTTGAATTTTTAACAATTCAGCAATTTAACTGCTTAGGGAATACTCTGGTTATTTTCATTTGAAGTTTGATGTTTTGGACGATTCTTTGTAAGTTTGAAAAAAGAGTAAAAGTGTATATTGTGTTCGGGGAAAAGTAAGTAACATGTAGAAAGAATCGTTTCATACCCTTTAAAGTATATATATTCTTGATCAGAATCATTAGCCGAGTCGATGTCCATCTATCTGTCCGGATGAACGCTGAGATCTCAAAAGTAAGCCGCCTCGCCCACTCTAACGCCCACACTCGCCTTGAACAACCTTTGTCGCGTATCTGGCGCCCACATCTTTAAAGATTTCGAAAAAGTTAAATTAAATTTTGTTGTTATACCCGTTACTCGTAAAGCAAAAGGGTATATTGTATTCGTGAAAAAGTATACACAAAACAATTTTCTTGGTAAAATTGACCAACAAAGATGGTTACGTAACTATTAAAATCGTTACATGTATTTTGTTTTAGCTTTGGGATTGTGTCTTTGCTAATTGTGTGTATTTTGTTGTTGTGAAATGACAATTTACTTAGTAGAATTGAAAATTTTGCTGGTTGGGGCCTGTTTGACAATTATTACAGTAAAATCAACTGTAAGTTTTTTTTTGTGTGTATGTAACAGGGAGAAGGAAGCGTTTCCTATGTCTGTCTGTCTGTCTGTAGGTCTGTCTGGATGAACGCTGAGATCTCGGAAACTACAAAAGCTAGAAGGTTGAGATTTTCCACACATATTCTTGGGCTTCTTACGCAGCGCTTCTAGCGCTCTCTTGTTTATACAGAGATTCTACAAGTGCATATATTAAATTATCAACACAAAGTTATGTACATACTTTCCTTTGTCATTGTAATTTATAAGTAATACTACCCACAACAAAATTTGGTTGCTAAAATTGATTGTTGTTAATAAAGTAAAAAATAGTACTTTAACAATACAAATAGTCGACCGCTTTAAATCAGATTACAGATTTTATAAAAGTTTAAGTGTCATTTTGTTGTGTTTATTAATGCCTCGAAATGTAAAACCAAATTTTAAAATCAGACAATCTTTTCAAAAGTTATTAGCAAACAATGAAATGACCGCTACACACAAAAGAATTTGATTGGTAACTGAAGGTACCAATGAAGAGAGTTCAGTAACTATAAAAATAGTATTTTAACAATAAAAATAGTCGTCCGTGTATTTGTTTTTGCTTTGCGTACTATCAAATAGTTAAACTACTATTAAAATAGTTACTTTTATTTGTGTGTATTTTGTTTTTGTACCTTAACACTATTTTAAATAGTTGTGTAACTATGAACAATAGTTACCTTAACATAGAAGTATGCAACTGTAATCTTACAAATCTTCTGCAATGCCTTATTTATAATTCCCAACTGGGTCCAGCCCTTCATGAACCAAGCCCAAGTCAGATACTGACTTATTTTCTGTCTTAAGTCTTTAATATACTGCCACACTAGCCGGAAGTCAAGTGCAGCCCGCACCTTTATAAGGTTCAGGATAAAGTTGACAATTTTTGTGGTTTGGGCCTGTTTGACAATTATTACAGTTGATTTTACCAAGTTTTTCTTGTGTGTAGATAGAGCCAGAAGCGGCCGCTAGATAGGGCCAGTAGCTTTGACGACTGCATATCTCCGTCTTCCTCGCACTCCCTTTAGCTGAGTAAATGGTATCTGATAGTCGAAGTACTTGACTATAGCGTTCTCTCTTGTTTCTATTGCTGGTACTAGTATATGCCCAAACAAGCTGAATATAACCATTTTTTTACATTAGTACATATGTCGGAGCGAGCCGGATCGGACCACTATATCTTAACTTTGTAGGAAGTAGGCGTTTTCATTTTTGACAAACAAAATTTTAAATAGGCACGCAGATTCTGGAATCTCTGGAACTGTACCGATAGAGTGAGCATTAAACTGTACACAAAAAAAATTTGCTTGGTAAAATTGACCAACAAAGATAGTTACGTAACTATTAAAATAGTTACGTGTATTTTGTTTTTGCTTTGGATGTGTGTCTTTGCTAATTGTGTGTATTTTGTTGTTGTGAAATGACTATTTACTTAGTAGAATTGACAATTTTGCTGGTTGGGGCCTGTTTGACAATTATTACAGTTGATTTTACCAATTTTTTTTTTGTGTGTAAGTATTTACTTTATTCGCAAGACAATTTAAACAAAATTCAAAACATGACCAAAACAAGATCCAACAAGAGAGAACGCTACACTATGGGGAATTTGACCACTTGTTTTGGCCAATATTAATAGCTCCCTCAACTTTAAAGATATCAAAAAAAAACTTTAGCATTCGTTCTGATTTATCCCAACGCATATTTTTGTGTGTAGGTATTTACTTTATTCGCAAGACAATTTAAACAAAATTCAAAACATGACCAAAACAAGATCCAACAAGAGAGAACGCTACACTATGGGGAATTTGACCACTTGTTTTGGCCAATATTAATAGCTCCCTCAACTTTAAAGATATCAAAAAAAACTTTAGCAATCGTTCTGATTTATCCCAACGCATTTTCTGTATGAATATCTTTCGGATCAGACAACTATATCATATAGCTGCCATAGGAATAATCAGATCAACTTTGCTATTTTTAGAGAAACCACATACAAAATTCGGTTAAAATCGGAAGAATATTTTTTTTAGTTTTATGGAACCGAAAATTCTCAGAGGGTATAATAATTTCGGTCAGAAGTTTGTAATAAAGTACACTTGAATTGACAAACAAGTGAATTTTTTGAAGACAGAGTGAATGAGTTCAAGTGAGTTAACTTGGATCATTTGTTTCACTTGATCACTCATAAAAAAAAAACAAGTGATGCAGGCACAGAATAATTGCCATCTAGCCATGTCCGTCTGTCCGTTTCCATGCGAGCTAGTCTCTCAGTTTTAAAGCTATCGCAATGAAACTTTCCCAAAAGTCTTCTTTCTATTGCAGGTAGTACATATGGCGGAACGAGCCGGATCGGACCACTATATCCTTTGGCTCCTATAGGAATATTCAAAAAAAATAACAGAAAAAACATTTTAACTTTGTAGAAAGTAGGCGATTTGATTTTTGACATTAATAGTTACGTAACTATCTTTGTTGGTCAATTTTACCGAGCAAATTTTTTTGTGTGTACCCGTCACTCGGCTAAAGGGCGTGCGAGGGAGATGGATATATAACTTTTTTTTTGATTGTGCATAACTTTTTAATGAATGGTCCGATTTGAAATTTCGATATGCACAACAAAGGTGTGGGCGCCAGACACATTTTAAAATCGTTAGTGGGCGATTGTGGGCGTTAGAGGGGGCACTCGGCTGAAATAAACTTGCACTGCGTAGGAATCCCAAGAATATGTGTGGGAAATCTCAACCTTCTACACACAAAAAAAATTTGCTTGGTAAAAAATAAATATTAAAATTACTAGTAACTATTAAAATAGTTACGTGTATTTTGTTTTTCCTTTGGGTGTGTGTCATTGCTAAATGTGAGTATTTTGTTGTTGTGGAATAACTATTTACTTAGGAGTCAAAATCTGCCAAGTGGGCCACCCCTGTTCCGAAGGTCCGATTTTCATCGAACTTTTTTACTTTTCCGGTTCACAACGATAATATAAGAACTTCATTTGAACGGTTTTGCGAAATTTTGAGTTTTATGGCTCCGGAGTTATTGGGGTCAAAATATGGCATTTTTGACACTTT